GGCACTCTGAGACAGGCCGTATATATGCTGCTTTGCCGTTTCGGGCCAAATTAAGTTTACGTATATATGCTTCCTTGCCGCCATGAGGACCAAAATATTTGGACGCATATATGCTGCCTTGCCGCTATGAGAGCCATTATTTTCGAACGCATATATATGGCCTTGCCGCCTGGAGGGTTAAACGTTAAATGCACGTGCTATTGTATTTTTATAACCAAAACTACCATAAACAAAAGACTCACTTGGTCTTTTTAAATAGTTTTAATTAACAAAACACAATTAAGATAAAACATTACAATTAAGGGCGTTATAATTACACATTTAGGTTACAAAGTAAATCTCGGGGAACACGATGCTTAGTGTCTTGAGTCCAGTACATCGACTGACTGCTATAGTCTTTGTTAGCCGGTGGTTTTCCCGGCAGCCGCTAGGTGGCGCTCATTGAGCCGTGGGGTTACAGACTCTCCCTCTGACTAGTACGAGGTCTCGGCGAAGAGCCAGAAATATGTTTCTTTGGCCTGCCTCGTCTTCGATAAGGTGCTACAGACCCACTATCTCTTGAAACAGACAGTTCATAAGCGCGTAAGGCTGAGCTGTGGTAAGTCCCAAGGACTTCATCTGGCTTAGCTGGATCAGCAATATCATACGTAGTGGGTGAACGATTAGTTACCGCTAAATAAGGGCCTTCACGTCTCGGCATGAATTTTTGGCACTTTCTAGTCTGCGATCTACAAATAGGATGTAACGTTACCCATACTTTATCACATGGTTCGTTAGAAACCTTTTGACGTCGACGATCATAATATACTATTTTCGTGTCTTGCTTCTGTTCGACGTTGCCTTTAGTCTCTGCAGTTAAACGGGCAAATCGTTTTAGATATGGTGTAATCTCAGCCACGAAGTTATCCTTATCAATTAATGTTCTTAGGTCGTGGGTAACATCATCTGTTGTTCTTAAATCTCTGCCAAACTGCAAAAAAGCTGCTGTGTGATTAGTGGTTTCACACTTGGTAGTGTTCATGGAAAAATGAATCAGTGGCAGTTTTTTTTCCCAGGAATTGTGTTCATCTCCGACGAGTATGGCAAGTCGAGGTTTTAGATCCCTATTCTTAAGTTCCGATGGGTTTGCTTGGGGATGATACACAGGAATAAGGTGTTGCTTAATTTCGAGAAAATTGCAAATTTGTTGCATAACGGCACTTATGAATTGTGGACCATTATCACTTATCAATCTACGTGGATGTCCATATCGTAGAAAAACTTCTTCGACTAACGTTTTGGCGCAGTTGACAGCTGTTGCTTCTTCAAGGGCAAATAGTTCTACCCATTTTGTACTGATAACTTTTACGATAAGAATCCATTTCTTACCAGATGAGGTCTCTGGAAGAGGTCCAAAAAATCAACAGATAGAGATTCGAACGTTTGGGCGTAAACTGGCGTTCTAAGAAGACCGGCTGTTTTCTGATTAGTCGGTTTGTAACGGTTACATTCCGGAAAATTCTTAACATATTCAGAGATGTACTTGGCATATCTTGAAAATAGTACCTAGAGGCAACTTTTTGTAAGTACTTTTAGCCCCATAGTGCCCAGCCGTTGGAGAATCATGGTGCTCTTGTAGCACTCTTTCTGTTTTCGGGGTAGGGACTACGAGTTGGGCATTCTTCTGTTTCTACTTCTGGTGAGTAACGATACAGAACACCCTGATTCATAAGAAAACCTCTGCTAGTCCACTTTGCGAAGTTTTCATCTTTTGAAGTGCTTTCGAAGCAGTCAATTGTTTTTTTTAGTTCTTCGTCCTTCAACTGTTCTTCTCGAATTTCTTTGGACTTTCTTACCGAAAAATCGGCTGATATTGCAAATAAGTCACAAGAGATATCTTCATTTAGATTCGAGGGTCTAGACAACATGTCTGCAATCCCATTAGCTTTACAAGGCGTATACTCAATTTTCGAATTATAGGACTGAATCTGAAGAGCCCATCTTGCCAAACTGCCTGATGGTGATTTGATGCTCATAAGCCATTTTAATGGCTGGTGGTCAGATGCTATAATTATTTCTTGGTTATCAACGCAACCTCGAAATTTCTCCAGAGCCCAAACTACTGCAAGTGCCTCACGTTCAGTAGTGGAGTAATTTCATTCTGCTGGTGTGAGCAGACGACTGGCATACTCAATAACATGTTCTTCTGGGACTTCTCCTTGAATAAGGACTGCTCCTAGAGCGTAACTGCTAGCATCGGTGCGGATAAGAAACGGCTTCGAGTCATCTGGTTATTTTAACACAGGGAGTGTTATTAATCTTTTCTTCAATTCTTCAAAAGCTTCTTGCTGTTCAGTGCCACAAAACTATTGTACACCCCCTTTTTGGTAAGATTACTAAGTGGTCTTGCAATGACCGCAAATTTTGGAACATATCTTCTGAACCATGAGCAAGGCGGTCTAAGCTGTGGCCAATGAGTGAAGCTAAATTTGCGCATGCGTAGATGTGTCTACACCTTTCGCGGGCTGTTTTCCAGCTCGATTGATTTCCCGCGCTCGCTCTGCTTGTTTTCGTTATTTTGTGTCATGGCTTTTTCAGCTCACCACAAAGTTTTACTGGTTCAACAGAATGCTCTTTTATCTGCCCTTCTTATAAGCCAGGCCAAACGGAAGAATAAAAAACGGAAAAGAACGAAATGGTTTAGAGCTATTTTTTTGGAAAGACCAATACTTGGTTGGCACATATTTCTGTGCAAAGCGGTATGGAATATTTCTGCATTGTACTATAAACATTGTACTCTCTATATTATAAACATGCACATGCATATTTATATATATAAAACCTTCTTCAATTTTTATATGCAATTTCTCTTAGGAGAAATACGATATTCTAAACATGCCTAATTAAAACAAAATCTTGAGGATAAGTGACAGATAGCCTGCATATAATATTTTTCCATTTTGCAAGTGTGAAAGCTGTTAAGCGGAAAACAGTACTTACCATACATTAATTTTTTTTCTAATTTTAAATCAAAAGGAACATGTTTCTGTGCTTAGCACTTCTTATTCACTGTCACTGTCGATCACTACAATAGTTGGCTGCATTAGCAGTATCAATTATCACTAGTACTAGTATCCCACAACTTGTCACCATTACCAGCAGCCACAACTAGTACAATACTATGAAACGTTCACCCAACAATGTATTTTATGCTCAATCATTAAATACATTTTGCTGTGTTTCCAGCTGTTTGTATACATATGTTTCTAGTAATTTGCATGTATAAGTCTCACCACTGAATTTCATATGCTTTTTCTGAAAAAAAAAGGGGGGGTTACACTCGAAAGGCTACAGTACAAAGTAAACACTAACTTTCAGGAATTTTTGTGGATAATTCTGCAAACTGTTATGTTTATATCATCTGAGTAATTCAAATTAAACTCTGCTATGCTGTGAGATGTCATAGATGTAAGTTTCATCCATGTCTGTTGTCAGAAGTAATTACTTTTAATGATTTTTCATTGGTTGACATATTATGACAATTCTTCATTGTTGACAGATTATTCAATTCACTGGCAGACATGCATATTAAAGCACCAAAAAGATTTTAATTTCAACATATACTGTCACTTCTATTTACGACCAATATCTCAATAATTTCACATTGACAAATTTTAAGTACCCAAGTCTTCAAATACAACAAAATTATAAACCTTATCCAGGAATTTCTACCAGAGAAATAGCATGAATTTAATGATCAAAATTCCATTCAAATGATAGTAATAAAGAGTGGATAATGATAACAAATACTATTCACTAAATTATAGTCCATGTTATGAATTATGTTTGCTATTCAGTTTCATTTAAAGTAAAGTTCTTTCATAGAGAACGTAATTAAAAAACAGAACAGAACATCAACAGGAGACAAAACTGTCTAGACCATTGGTCGGCAAACTTATTAGCCAAAGAGCCAAATATGAACATTACAAGAATTTAAAAAAAAAGGGGGGGTGCCAAATCTGTTTGTTTAGTAAACTTTTATTACACTAAATAAATATAAATTTAATACTTAATAAACATTTATTAATGCGAACAATGTGCTTGCATCTCCTTGGAAAGTTTGAGGAAGTCAGGTTTGTACGTTGTTGTTTTTAATTTTAGGCATGATTTCAAGTTCTCGTCAGGAATACTATTCCAAGCATTGAAAATGATCATGTCTTCCTTCTCCAGGTCGTTCAAAGCAGACCACTTGTGTTGTGAAATAAGATCACATTTTTTCTCCTCTAATATTTTCAATTCAACACAAAGATGTTCGAATTTAGAGCGCCGTATCTTCTTGTTTTTTAAATCCAGCAATTGTATTTCAAAGCTACCAAAGTCAATTTCAAAAGGAGAAAATTTCAACTCGGTTATCGTAGCATTAAGAGGATTTTTGACAAATGCTAAAGTTGCTCTGCTGTTTTTAAATTCCTAAAACCTGCTGAGAAATGCTTCCCTCATATGTAAAATTATTGTTTTAAAATGGTGTTTATCAATAGAAGAATTATTTTCTTGGCAATGCTTCAGCAGGCTCGGAAAGTGAAACAATATTTCCCTTTCAAAATCCTGTGCAAAAATGGATAATTTGTTTTCAAATGTTATTACTTCTTCTAACATCGAAAAAAATTAAGTTTCCTTTCCCCTTGTAGTTTACGATTAAGCTGATTGAGATGAGACATAACATCTACCATGAAATAAAAGTTTTGGATCCACTGATCGTCTGTTAGTTCTGGATAGTGAACGCCATTCTCAAGGAGAAATGCTTTAATTTCCGGAAAAAGGGACGCGAAACATTTTAAAACGTTCCCTCTTGATAACCAACGTACCTTGTTATGAAGCAGAAGATCAGCGTACTCACTCTCCATTTCAAATAAAAATTCTTTGAATTGGCGATGATTAAAAGCTTTAGCTAAAATGGAGTTGATAATGGTAATCACTAATTCCATAACTTTATAAATTTCTTCCGGAAATGTTTGCGCACAAAGCGCTTCTTGGTGAATGATACAATGGTAAACAAGTATCTGGTGATTAATTTTTTCTTTCAAAATAGCAACAACCCCTTTTTTTACATCGGTCATACTTTTGGCCCCATCTGTTGAAATAGACACAATTTTATCAAGGGGAATATGATGTTTATCCATACACTCAATTACAGCATTGGCGATATCTTCTCCACGCGTCTGTCCTTTGGCAATAATCCTAAAAGTTCTTTAGGGCCTGACTGAGACATAAATCTTACAAAAAGGGAAACTTGCGCTGTATCATTTATGTCACAAGACTCGTCATCTGCTATTGATAAAGCCGAAACCAATTTCAGATCTTCGATATGCCGGGTGGTTATATTCGAACACATTTTAATTGCTCTATCTTTAATGGTTTTGGCAGACAATGGTAACTCTTTAATTCTTTTCAGAATATCTGCTTTGTTCTTAAAATCCCGAAATAGCTCTTCGGATGCATTTATAAAACAATTTTTTATGTATTCGCCGTCTGTGTACGGTTTTCCTCTCTTAGCAATCTCTTGGCTACAAACAAAACTTGCCATATTAATATTGCTGGAAGATCGCATAAAATATTTGTATAGGCACCCCTTTTACTATAACTTTTGTGTTATTAAACACAAAAGTTGACGACTCTTGACTCTTCTGAAGTTCCTCAACTGCTTTCTTCCTTGTATCACCGGTAGGATATTTAGTGACGCGTGCTTTCTTGTAAAGTGTCTCTCTAAATTTGATTTCTTGTTATGCGCGATTTTCTCCTTACAAATAAGACATGTTGGAAGTCCATTCAAGTTTTGAATAAACACAAAATTCTCGGTCCACTCAACTTTAAATTCGCGGTTTTCATCTTCCGGTTTTCTTTGCTTTTTTTTGGTAGCCATGTTAATTGGGGTGCCTATACAAATATTCCAAATATATTTTTTTTTCCAAAGCTACCAGTACAAAATTATTATCATTATTAAATTGATGAAAATAAAAATTTAAAAAAAAACTTTAAAAAAAATGCAATTTTATTAATATATGTAACTGCACTAAAAAGAAAAAAAAATTCCATCATCAGAATAACAAAACTTTTAATATGACCAAACATGGAAGAAAACTTCCAACATTTGGACAAATAGAAGTTATCGAAAGATCGATTACAAATTTTGTACCGGAACCACAAACATACATAGCTGGTGTAATAAAATCGTATAAAAATACCTGTAAGATATGCAGCTAGATTAAAAAATACAACAACTTTTGAATAAGGCAGGACAACGGCAGACACGGTAGATAAGACAAAACTGTTCACACTGCAACTGCTGCTCTGTGATACCAATTTCTACCTTCACTACTTTATAAAAAGCATGCCCGCGCATGCCGGTAGCTTGTACATGGTTTATGTTTACGTTTACAGAAACAAATAAAATTAAACTCGATGTTCGTTGCGTATTTTTACAACATTATAAAATTTTAATTACCTATCTATCTTTTTACTCAAGCAAAAAATTATACATGTTCTCGATATA